AGCAAGGCCTACTTTAATTATTTTTAAAGCCAAAATGTATAAACAAATTTATAATTCAAATAACCATAGTTTATTTCCCTCACTTTAGGCTATTGCTAACTTTCCTCCATATACTTAAATATTCTATATTCCTATATTCATTGAACCTAACAATCCTTTTAGAGTTATTTTCAGGTTTTTCACTTAGCTCATTTTACTCTAGTGTAAAAATATTATCCTACAATAGCCAAAGGTAGAAACAACCCAAATGTCTATCAGTAAATGAGTGGATAAACAAAATATGGTATATACATATAACAGAATATTATTCAGCCTTAAAATGGAATGAAATTCTGATACGTGATATAACATATATGATCCCTGAAAACATTAGCCTAAGTGAAATAAGCCAGACACTAAAGGACAAACATGGTATGATTCCATTTATATGAGGTACCTAAAACAGGCAAATTGATAAAAAGTGTAATGAACAGAGGTAAAAAGATAGTGTGATAGATGGTGAGTTGTTCAAATGGTACAGAGTTTCTGTTTGGGATGATGAAAAAGTTCTAGAGATAGATAGTGGTGATAATTAACACAACACTGTACATGTATTCAGTGCCACTGAATTATACACTAAAAATGATTAAGCTGCTATATTTTGTGTTGTGTATATTTTACCACAATAAAACAAATTTTCTGAGTTAGCCATAAATGAAATACTAGGACTCTGCTCTGTGTGTGCACCAAGGGACTCAGCCTCCTGCATTCCGAGTAGCCCCTTCATTCTCACTGGGTGGAGAAAACACAGCTGTATTTACTTTTCCAACCCCATCTTCTATTTTGAAATACTACCTTTTTGCAAATGAGAGCCAAGGTCAAGTGACAGAGCTTTCTGCTCACCTCTTCAGTTTTCCAAACACTGTTTTTCTAGTGGAGCTCTGGGTTAGGTGCTGCAAGTGTGGGTAATACTATTACTCACGTGCCCTCTGAGTGGAATTTAATTAGCCTGCCTTCATAATTAGGGATGATGCATTTCCTTTCACTTCCATTTGTATATGAAAATGTACAGTTGTGCATTCATCAACTGTAGTATTTCCAAGTGTTTGGGCTATTCCACACACTAAATTAAATTACAAAGAAAGTAAGGCCTTTCTTAAAGAATTCCTTGTTTCCTCAGATTAGAAGGATATTTATATGCAGGGTGAATGTGAGATCCTACTGATAATGGTCTTTTATTTCTGGCTATGAACACGACAATTCTAAGTACATACTAAAAATTGTATATTTATGTTTTTTGAATAATGGTGGAAGCTTTGACAAATTATAAACTCTTCAGTATAAATTAAGAGTAGCAAAACAGATTAGCTTTCTGTCTTAAAACAACAACCTTAACATGAAATAATTGTTTTTGTTTTTTGTAATATCAAAATGTTTGTTATTAAATATATATGTTATATTTAGGTTATGAATTTGTTAAATGTTCATTTTATCAAAGCACATACCAAAAAAACCCCCAAAAAACAAACAGCATGTAGGTATCACTTAATATTTTTTATTTACTTTTAGTATTTCCTACAAGTAGCCTATGATATTTATTTCCGTTCATTCAGTATCATAAAAGTGGTATCTATTTATCAAATTATATAAAAACACGAGTATAATATATTTATATTTTCTTACCGGCTTTAAAAATAGAAAGCATTTCATTTCCTTTCTTATTGTATATGCAGTTGGTTGATGTACTTTATTGTTTTACAAATGAAAATTAATCATTTGAGTGAAATTAATATTCAGCATGCTGAGGAGATGTGCAAGATCATTTTTCATTGCTTTCTTTTGAAATTATCTGGGAAATGTATGATCTTGTTGCACTGAATTCTGATGAAGTTTAATAGATATTTTAAATAAATAAAGCTATCTAAATGGGAAGTAGACTCTAGTGTGACTAAAATTCGTCAGAACTGTGTTGTACATAATAAGCTTGAATTCATGCACAAAAGCCTAAGCCATTGTGTAACCTTGGCTGTGTTCAGATGCTACAGTCTTCTAAGCTATTGTATATTGTATCTAGCCTGGTAGATTTAACCTAGTAATGAGATGCTTACTTGAACTGTTACTTTAAACTCAGTTTCTGTGGCAGCACAGTCTGTAAATTTTTGGACCTTCATCTTCCAGCCCAGATAACACTTGTCCATAGAGAAATTGTTAAACTTAAGCCCTTAAAAAACAACAACCAAACACATAAGCTTTAAAACTATTTACCTTGATGATGGCCTGTACACCAGAGGGATAGCACTGGATTATAACTGAGGAGACCCAGAGTACAAGTCTCTGCCAATTAGTAGTGGTGTGACCTTACACAGTCAGTAAACTTTGAGCCTCAGAAGATGAGAATAGAAACAATAGCCTCCCTATCAAATTTAGTGGGTTGTGAGGCTCAAATGAAATAAACTGTGAAATTACTTCAAAAACAAATGTTGGTTGTTATTTTTCCAAGATTCTGGTTAGAACTTTGCTGATCCCACAGATTTAACTGAATTATAAAACAGATAAAATCATACCAATAGTTGTCTAATAGAGTGTTATTTGACATGTAAACTTTTAAAGCCAATAGTTTGATATATTTTTATATTTCCAGATTATTTAACATCTGCGTGACTTGTTTTATTTTTATTTTGGTGTGGTTAATATGTCTCTGTTTTGATATGAATGGAGTTGCTTTGGGAACTGGAAACTGGTGGGGTTTTGGTGTCCTAATAAAGGGCATCCCTTTTTCTCACCTGCATCCTTATCCAATCTATCTACACTAATAAAAGAGAAAGATGCAAATTGACTGTACCTTTGCGATGCCCACCAGCCAATCAGGAGTGAGTATGCAAATTAATCCAACAAAGATGGTGGGTTAATTTGCATACACAGGCACCAAGTGGCCAAGGGTGGGGCGGGACAGAAGCCAGGGGAAGGAAGGCCCATTCTTGCATGAATCTTTGTGCATCAGGCCTCTAGTATAGATATAAAAGGCTAAGTGACTGACCTACCGGCTGGTACATATGACAGGCACTGGCAATTTAAAAATAACATTGACTGGTGTATGCATGATACATATAAAGCTCTTGCGCCAATCGCATGTGTGTTTTAATTTTATACTATATTATATATACTATTTTGACATAATTTTTTGCAGTAACGTAATTACTACACGAATCTTTCTTCTACTTAATTTTCTTTCAATGTGCACGAATCCATGCACCGGGCCACTAGTGGAGAAATAAGACCAAAGGGCCAGCAGACCAAGAACTAAAATGGCTCCCTTCTGACTGATAAGCGCAGGTTGGAGGAGGCAGGTTAGTATAGTAGCTGAAATGGACTTCCACAGCCTCCTTAACCCATGTCTAGACCTGTGAGGAAGGTTTACCTCAACACAGCACACACTGTGTTTACTTCTCTCCCCTGATCCAGGTAGAAAGAGACTTTCTCCAGGCCTTGGGTCCGTGGGTGGTTTAGCTCCCCCTTCTAGAAAGGGGGACCCAGCGCTGTCATCCACCAACCATGTAACTCAGTCTGCCTCCTTGGGGAGGACCAGGGGCGAGGCCAGAAGGCCAGCAAGCTTAGAGAAAAACCCCTCCATGGAAATCAGAGAAGAAAGAGGCCGAACAGAAATTAAACCATCCCCTCTCCTACCCTCTTTTTAGCTCTCATCTCTGAGGCTTTTCTTCCCTAGTCCTGCCACCCTGTTGCTGGCCCTTTCCCCATACTCTTGCCCCCAAACATAGGCCACACTGCAACTCCTTCAGACTGGACTGCACAGTTGTGGAGAAATACTGGATCCTGGGAGAGAAGAGTGTGTAAGGCGGGCTGATGTTATAGACTGAATGAGGCCCCACACCCACATTCTTAGGTTGAAATTAATCCCCAATGTGAGGGTACTTGGAGGTGGGGGCCTTTTGGAGGTGATTAGGTCATGAGGGTGTAGTCCTCCTAGATGGGATTTGTGTCTTTATAAAAGGCCCCAGAGAGCTCCCTGGCCCCTTCTGCCCTGTGACGTTAAAGCAAAAAGAGAGTCATCTATGCAGCAGGAACAGGCCCTCGCCAGACACTGAGTCTGCTGCAACCACTTCTTGAGCTTCTCAGGCTCCAAAACTGAGAAAAGAAGTTTTGTTGTATATAAGCCATCCAGTCTATGGTTGTGTTATTTATTTTTTTAAGTAGTAGCCTGAACAGACTAAGACAGTTGATTAAGGGGAATGTGGAGTACATAAGGTAAACCTCTGGTAAATATATTTCCCCAACAGTTTCATCAACATTGCTGCAGAACCTATTAAATTTCCTTTGGGAGACATATTTGTGATGTTGTTCATTTGGCAAGTCAAGAACAACCCATCTGATTCTTTAGGAAATAGATGTAGCTGGGGTCTCAAACTAGTTTTTAGTTCTGTCTATATTTAATACCATCCACGGATCACCCTGTTGGTAAAATCTTGTTAGGAAAAGAACCAAACAGATGCAGAAATCCAGGGTCGACATAATGACGCCTAGCTTATTTTGAATAAATTCGAATATAAAGTTTAGGAAGAAATTTAATTTAGTAATTGGATGACCCTGTATTGATCACCTTCTATGAACCAGGCATTGCTCTGATTGGGAGGGAAATGGAGAAGAAAGCTCGTCTCGGGCTTTGCGCTGCCCATAGTTTCAGGAGGGTGCAAAGAACTCTATTCCAGGATGATACCTTCTGTGAGAGCTGTGCACAGGCTGTTATGGGAACACATGGACAGGCAGGCAGCCCAGGTTTGAGGAGTTACTTCAGGAAATCTTTCTAAAAGAGTCTTGATGTACATCCTAAAGCACAAGTTTAAGTGGGCGAGAAGAAGAAGAAAGAGAGATGTCCTAGTTTAGGCAAAAGTAATTGAGTGAGCCTGGCGTATTTGGATAGTAGCAAATAGCTTGGTGTGGATAGAGTAAAGAGTTTAGGGAATGGTGATAAAAGAAATTGGAGGGGTAGCAAGGCTAGATCATACCTTTTGTACTATGATAAGGAGTTTGTTCTTTTCTCCAAAGGCACCTAGGAGTTTTAAGCAAGGAAAAGCATGTGTTTTAGATACCACGAGTGACAGGGAGGGAGAAAGTAGTGTAGGGGGAACAAGGCCATATGCAGAAAACTCGTGCAACATTCAAGGCAGGAGACTACAGTGGCCTGAAATGAGAGAATAACAGTGGACCTGCAAAGAGACAGATGAAACTTGGGGAGATATTAAGAACATCAAAATCAGTAGGACTCAGTCATTTATTGGATGGAGGAAGAGACATGCCAGGGAGAGAAGTCAACAATAATTCAGGTTTGTGTGTTGGGCAACCCTGTTGGTTCCCTCCACCAACACAGGAACTACTAGAAGACCATTCAGTAAGTGGGGGTAGTGTTAGGAAGGAGATGAGAACCAGGTTTAGAACACGTTGAGTTTAAGATTCCTATGGAATATCCAAAAAGAAAATGTATAATAGGAGTTGAATATATGGGCTAGGAGTTTGAGATAGAAATCTGGGTTTGAGATTGGGGGGTGTGCGTGCACACACACATTTATCTACATACTCATTTACCTTTGGGGAGAGCAGGATAGGGCAGTCAGCACCATGGATATGGATAAGCTCATCCTGGTAGGTGTGTTGAGACTAAAGAATAAAGGAACAGAAACGAGGATACCATCACCTCAGAAAGAGGCAAAACTAAGAAGTGGCACAAAAAAAACCCACAAAACAAGAAATAAAAACATAGTCACAATTTTTAAGCAGGACAAATAGATCATAAAAGATTAGCACTTCAAAATCTCTGAGTTTAGAAAAAAAAAAAGGAAAGAAAGAAAGTGTTAGTAACGGTGGAGAAAGCAGTGTCGGCAGAGGGGCAGAGACGAAGGCAGATGGCAGCGGGTGAGGAGTGAAGGATAGTGCCCACCATGGTCTCAGCCTGGCGTGAACAGCAGCACAGAGGTGGTGTGGGAGTCAGTGGTGATGCAGACATGGAGGGTTTTCTGTAACTGGGGCACTGATGATATGAAAGATTAGCAGTTAGGAGATGCCTTCTCACTGATGCACCGTGTGCTTGAGGAGTGGGGACAGGGTGGATGTGGAGCACCAGCGAGGGGTTAGATGAGGGGAGGAGGGCACCTTGCCTGTGTGGCAAGGGAAGCACAGATGGGTGCAAATGCAGATATGTTTTTTGGGTGGGGCAGGTTGAGCAGATCCTCACCTGCTCAAGTAGGAGGCAAGCCCACCTGCTGACAGCAAGGAGAAAGTGGTCATGTAGGGATAGAGAAGAGAAGGTGTGAAATATACCCTGAAGAATTGGGGATGCCTGCTGGGAAAATATGAGATTTCTGGTCAGCTTAAGGGGAGGGATCAAAAACTTCTATAAACTAAAAAAAAAATTTTTTTTTTAAAGAAAATCACTGGAATAGCCTTTTGTTTTTTCAAAACTAGCGTAAACAGGATCCCACATTGAACACTGTTTCTTGCTGGTTCCTTTCCTAAAATGCTCTCTTCCCTCTTTCCACCGCTCCCCCACTCCAGTTGGCTGGTACAGATTTTCTGGCTTCAGTCAAGCCACGTTTCCAAGAAAGATGAACAGATTACAGAAGCAAGTGCCAGCCCTACTTCCCCTTCTTCACTTGCATCCATTCAGCTGGAGTTCTGAAAAGAGGAAGTCAGAACTATTTTTTTTTCTTTTTTAAGAAAGACTGGGGAAGCAGGCAGCACAGGGAGGTGGAAATACTGAGGGGAAAAGAAGAGGAAAGGGAACCAACATTGGGAAAAAAACAAAAACAAAAAACCATGAGCCAAAATTTAAAGTGAAATGATGTCCCAGATCAGAAAGTTAAAGGAATAAGGAAACTTTCTACTTGCTAACCTAGCCTCTTAGTTTGCTAATCAAATGTATAGCATCCTGGTATTTGGAGCCCAGGTTACATGGAACACGTAGATTTTCCGTGAATTCAGCTTCCTCCCACTAATTTATCTCTACTGGTGGTAAAGTGTTCTGGGATTTTCTTCATTTCTTTGGCTTAACCCCTCAATTTAAAAATCAAGTCTGGGGTGCCTAGAGTATCTGAGAAACGAGGGGAACAGATTCATTGCCATAACTATCTAGTGAGCACTTGTTATGTATACAAACTACAGTTCTGGGTAGTGAGGAGTTGCAGAAAAATCAGAAAGTCTCTACCATTGCAGCATAATTTCTCACAAGCGAAAGGAGACTATTGCTCAGGACTTACGTAGGTGTAAGTCCTCTGGCTTTTCTCAGCTAGCCAGACATTTATTGGGGACCAGCTCCTTAGGAAAAATAAGCCTGAGGACTGCTTTAATTGTGCCATTGCTTATATCACCTTTTCCTCTTGTCCCCTGATGCTTCTGACTCAGATTTGCACCCCAGCCCTCCCCCATCAAGAAGCTGATGTAATGCAAGCAGATACCAGCTGAAGCCAGAATAGAATGGATAGTTATCTGGGGAGATAAAGTGACAGTGTTGCCTGTTCAGGCTGCTGTTCAAAGGAACATGTCTTTTATCTATAGACATTAGAATTTAAAGGTATAGCTCTTCTTACTACAATGCATTTCCTAAAAATATGCTTGATATAGCTACCATCTTTGCATGTCAATTGAATATGTGGATGGGTGTTTTATACCTGCTTTTGTGTTCTTTTATTAGGTACTATTACTGTTTTGGTTAGGCTGCTTTCTACATTTTAATGCTTTAAAAATTTGCTTTTATAGGATACTCTTTTATCTCTACTTATCTAAGGCATGGGATGCAGGAGAAAAAAGCAGGATGTTATAAAAGATGCCAACTATAGGTGATGTTTGCCAACTATAGGTGATGTTCCTATTAATAAAATGTTCATATGTTAGTCAGATATGGCCAAGTAGATGAGGTTTCCAACTTGTTAGTGGGTTTGCAAAGTTGGCGGCCCTTCACAGATTTCATGGTGGTTATTGGGGCTTTTGTGCCAGGAAAAAGGAAATTGTCTGTTCTTAAAACTGCATTTCCTTGCTTTATACACCCAAGAGTGAGGCTCCCAGGGATGCCACTGACCTGCTGCTGCCCCAGGGATGTGACTTCACTAAACTGTTTTATGTGCCCTTTATTCTTAGAATGTGCCTTTTCTAAACTCAGAGAAGATTTCACAGATTCAACCTCATGAATCTTTACAGCCCCTCTGAAATTATGGGAGGAATAGTGTCTGTAAAGCTCTTCGAATTATTTGAGACATGGATAACAGAATGCGAGTAACCAGATAAACTTGGCCAGTCCATTTTGTAACAGGTTAACTGATGAACAAAATTTGATTTTTATACAAACATGAAAACAGTTAATTATAAATTTTGCTTGTTGCAATAATATTGATAAGGAAATTTATTTTCCTTACGATTAAAAAAGCCATTCTGATATGGCATACACATATTTAAACCATGTAAGGGCAAACGCTCATTTGAAACAGAAGTATTAGAGCTAGATTATATGAAGGAAATTATACTCAGGAACATGATCATAGCAGCATTTCTGTGAGCAGGGTTACTCATAAAAATAATTAACATGTTTTATGAATATAATATTTGAAGTAATTTTTAAAAATCTGGCTATTAACCATAAGGTTAATTGATTCTTTTCTTCTTGCTCTTTTGTGGTTAACATACTCTTTCTTCCTTTTAAAGACCCATTTTGTTATGCAAATAAAAAAATTGGAAGACTTTGTGTCTGAGAGAGAGGGCTGCTTTCTGCAAGGGAGCCAGGCACCTGTCTGAGCACTCAGCCCCCACCTCTGCTCCCACTGGCTGCCAAGCTAGAGACTTGATGATCAGGGTTACTGGGTGTGGGGTCCTTGAATGTTGACTCACATTCTCTTTGTGACTTGCTCTTGCTTTGCCTGATAATTTCTCCCTTTCCAGCTCTCAGCATGCCAGCAGCAGCTGCATCATGGCACTCACCCTGCTGCCAAGAGGGCAGGCAGGCTCCGTGGAGACTGTAACAGTGCACTCCAGCCAATGTCGGGAGGTGGGTGCTGGGGCAGTGCATGCAGCACAGCTGAGAGCCAGGCCCTCCTAGGAGGTGCTGGGGGCGGCACTTTGTCCACGGACTTGTTAAAGTCAGTTTAATTTTTGGAAACTTTTGATTATGGAAGGTTTTCAAACATATACAAAGGCAGAAAAGAACACTGCAGTGTCTGCCCATATACCTTCCTTTTCTCCCTTTAAACAATGACCATAGACTGTCTTGTTTCACTGTCCATGGTGTTACCTTCCCTGAAAACTGGTAGATTTATTTCCAGGGATAAATATTAAATTACAGCTGCTTTTCTATCCTCCTTCAGTCTAAGATGTATCTCCTTAATGAGTTTCTGTCCTTTCTTCTGTTTTTCTTCTCATTTAAGCCAAGATATGCTATGTAGGAATGGTCATATTCTCTAATGCTGTTGCCTAAATTCTCAAGGCTTTGTTCATTCAGTCCGCCAACCTCTCCAGAGCATAGAAGTGTGCAGGTAACATGTCTTAGAGCTTTATAGGTCACTGGGTTTGATTCTCAGTCTTACCACAGACGAGCTGTGTAACCTGGAACAACTTCCTTAACCTTTCTGTGCCCCAGTGTCCTCTTGTTTTTAACATGGGACTAATAGTGCACACCCCACAAAGCTATAAAACTTAAATGACGGAATTCACTTAAACAGCCTAGATGGACCCTCGCACAAAGTAAGTGTTCAACATATGCTAGTGGCTGTCATCAACATTTTTTGCCCCTCACCACTCACTTTACAGAGTAGAGGACTAAGGCCCAGGTGGATGAAGTGACCCCCTCTGGTCATATGACTGTTTTATCAAGGAGAACTGGAACAGGAAACCACATCTCAATTCCCCTATTATTCTAGATCAGTGATGGCGAACCTTTTGAGCTCGGCGTGTCAGCATTTTGAAAAACCCTAACTTAACTCTGGTGCTGTGTCACATATAGAAATTTTTTGATATTTGCAACCATAGTAAAACAAAGATTTATATTTTTGATATTTATTTTATATATTTAAATGCCATTTAACAAAGAAAAATCAACCAAAAAAATGAGTTCGCATGTCACCTCTGAAACGCGTGTCATAGGTTCGCCATCACTGTTCTAGATACTAGAGGCCCGGTGCACGGATTCATGCACCTCCCTCGGCCTGGCCTGCGCCCTCGCAATCCGGGATCCCTTGGGGGATGTCGATAAGCTGATTTCAGCCCCATCCCCACAGGCCAGGCTAAGGGACCCCACGGATTCATGCACCAGGCCTCTAGTATGCATATAAGATCGGTTAATCTGCCACCCTGCCCTCCCCACTTCCCTCTGAGATTCATCAGTATGTTCCATGTTTCCATGCCTATAGTTTCTGCTCCTGCGTTGAGTGTCTGCCCCCTAGTGGTCAGTGCGTGTTATAGCTACCGGCCAGTCGGCAGGTTGGCTGGTCGCTTAGATAGATAGATAGATAGATAGATAGATAGATAGATAGATAGAGAGAGAGATAGATAGTTTGACATAGCCTTGTCCTCAATTATGTTCTGGAAGAATGATTTGTAAGAGAAAAGGAAGAAGATTAATAAAGGCATGAACAAATAAGTAAATATTGCTGCTGGGAGTTAAACCTTAGAAGTTGTGTGTTTAGACAGCAGAGTGCTTTAGTGGAGAAGGTGAGGTTTCAGGGATACTTTTGTTTAAGAAGGGAGGTGATTTGGCTAATGAAACTGGAGAATGTTCTGTATACAGGAAGAAGAAGAAAGTTCAATTTTAGGATGAGATTAACAGACCCAGGGAACATTTGCATCTGAGATTAGAGAGAAGGCAGGATATAAAGAAGGTGGTAAGATTATTCAAACCACCAGTGAATGCCAAAAACAAAAGAGATGAGTGGATCCGAGACTTCAAGTGGGAGCTAACATTCGAAAGCTGTAATATGTGGTAAGCACTGTTCTACTCATGAACATTATTTAATCCTCATAACAGTCCTATGAAATAGGCATTATTATTGATCTCATTATACAGTTAAGGAAACTGAGGCACAAAGAAGTTAAATACCTTGCCCAAGGCCATTTGCAGGAGACCTTGGGTTTACACCCACGCTGTCTGACTGTGGGCCCTGTGCTCTTAAACGCTCAGCCATGCTGCTCCAAGGTAACCAAAGCCCTGTGCATACTCAATCTTGACACTGTATATGGGGAAGCCCTTTAGAGAGGCTGGAACTGTGGCATCATTACTCACTGATATTTAAGTCCCAGTTAGGTTTCAGTAGGCAGGTTCTGTCCACTGCACAATGGCCCTTTCTAATAATTGTCATCACAGAGTGCACTTAATTTTGTTCTGTTTGCGATCCTAAGAAAGCACTCTGTTTTATTTTCACACAAGGTATAAGACCATGGGATAGGGATGTGTTTGGTAACTTCAGATAAATCTTGAGGACCTCTGCTCTGTGTTGGGGGTGCCTATGAGATAGCAATTCCTCCTCTACAGAATCTCCATTACCTTTTCCTTTCTTATGACCTTCTTCTCATTAGCCTATGGACTAATTATTCTCCCAATTTAGAAACCAGAAAATAAGATCAAGAGAAACCTCACTGACCCCACATTCCTTTCCAGCTCATGTCCCACATCTCTTTTCCCATTTTTGGCACAATGTTTTGAAAAAATTGTCTGTTCTCATATTTGTCTACACTTTTCTTTCCGACCATACCCTTTAAAAAAAAAAAAGTATTTTTATTGATTTCACAGAGAAAGGGAGAGGGAGAGAGAGGTGGAAACATTAATGATGAGAGACAACCATTGATCAGCTGCCTCCTGTACACCCGCAACCCGGGTATGTGATCTGACCTGGAATTGAACCATGACCTCCTGGTTCGTAGGTCGACGTGCAGCCACTGAACCACTCGGGCTGGGCCTGACCATCCCCTGTAAACATGCGCCAAGAAGACTTTCTCTACCAGATCTTCCCCCCAGTTCCAACTTGCGTTATACTCCTGCCTATTAGCAGCTCCACTTGGATGTCTGGAAGGCACCTGGAATGACCAAAACAGGACTCTTGGTCTTCCTGCTTAGGCCAAAAACTCTGACTTCATCCTGACTCCACTCTGCTCTCATACCCCACATCCTTTTCATCCGTAAATCCTGTTGGCCTTATCCTCAAAGTCTATCCAAAATCCAACGGTTCATCTCACCTTGATTATCACAACCCTAATCCACAATGCAGTCATCTCTCTTTCCCTGCTACTTCCTTTCCTGGCCGCCAGACCCCGCTACCTACTGTCAATACGGCAACCAAAGTGATCCTGTTAAGTCATCAGTCTGAATGTGCCTCCTGTGTGACGATATGCTCTTTTTATCCCATGCAACAATATGGACGAATCTCCTATATAGAAGCCAGAAACAAGAGTTCATACTATAGGATTACCTTCATTTAAATACAAAAATAGGTAAACCAATCTATGCTGTTAGAAGTCAGGATGGTGACAGAAAGCGCGGGGTGGGGGGGGGGGGGGGGCTGTCATTTCTGTCCCTTGATCTGGGTGCTCACAGATGTCTAAGTTGGTTAAAATTAGCAAACTGTAAACTTTTAATGTACCCTTTCTGTATGTACTTTACACTTCCATAAAAAGTTTTTCAAAATTATTTCTTACACAGAAAATCATTCTTCTCTAGACTTACAGATAAGGAATTTATCAGCATTTTAACCATGATAATGTAAACCCCACGCAGGCAAAATCTTGTCTGCTCGCATCCAACCAATAAATATTTACTGAGCGCTAGGCACTGGTCTGGGCATTTTGGGATACAGCAGGGAACCCCTTACATTTCTGATGGATTATAATGAGGATAAAGTATATGACATAGAACAAGGTGCTAAGGGCCATGTAGGGTAAAAGAGCAGGGGAGGGAGATAGGGAGTGCTGGAGGGGAGAGAAGGGGGCAGGACACAGTGTAAATAAGATGGTCAGGAAAGCCTTGTTGAGAAGGTGGCATTGGGACCAACACTTGGAAGGAGGTGGGAGAAGGGGCCCAATGGATATTTGGCAGCAGAACCTCCTGGGTAGCGGGACTAGAAAGCACAGGCCTGAGGCAGAAGCAGGCTGGGTGCACAGGAGCAACAGCAAGGAGGCAGTGAGGCGCTGGGGCCAGGTCGCCAGGGCCTTGTAGGCCTCTGTAAAGACTCCAGAGTTTTATTCTGTGTGAGACCAGGTGGTGGTGGGAGAGTAAATTTTTGCCTAAACTGGTTTTATTTCGGTTTCAGCCACTTTTAGTGGCAGGTGGTTCATTCTCATTGCTGTAAATATACTTCAATTTATCCATTGTACTATTGATGGAAACTTAGTTTCCACTTTGGGGGCTTGCATAGAATGCTGCTATGAACACCCTACTGCACGTTTTTTAGTAATCTACTGTATGCATGGTTTACTAACTCTTTATATCTCAATAACTTAAGTAACATGTTAGTTCCTATGAAAGTCAGACAGTCAATAAGCATGACACACATTAGAAGTAAACTCTCAGGTAGGTATTAGAATAAGACAATTGAGTATGCAAGGCAGAGAGTACAAAGACATGTCAACTAGATTGCTGCTCTCAAGGACCCTCAACTCTAGTTATGGATAAGACATATGCATGTGAAACAGCAACTGGAAAGGATACCTATATAGGAAATGCGAAATAATATCCTAGGCAGTTTGCTCCATATCATTCTGAAGTGGGCAAGGTCACTTTGGACTGTGTTGATATATGGTTTCACAGGGAATCTGGAAATTCTCTAGACCCTGAAAGCATACACCACGTTTGGCAAAGCAGACAGACTTTGTAGACATTACTGGGCTAGAGAAATAACAAGAGGGGGTCATGGGTGGTAAGAGTAGGGTTTAGGATCCATTTTAAAGCTAGTAGAGCTCTATGTACAAGTAAAGCAAATAGCTACATTCTGATCTGGGAATACTTACATGTTCCCCCATTTCTCCATTTTGCTACATTCATGCCACATTTACCATTACTGAACCTCCGAGGCCATAGGTCTGAATGATTTGAATATATGTGTATTTTTAGACTGGCACAGAAAACTCATCCATTGTGACTGTGGCAGGCCCCGGGGCGGAAACCAAGGCAGGCCAGCCTCCGGAAAACAGCTCATTCATGGCCGAGCTTCTGAGCGACGTGCCCTTCACGTTGGCCCCGCACGTGCTGGCCGTGCAGGGCACCATCAGTGACCTTCCAGACCACCTGCTCACCTGTGACATCAGCGAAAACTTATCACGGTTTTGGTATGATTTTACTCTTGAAAATTCAGTGCTCTGTGATTCATAGTTTTTATATTTGTACCTTAACAGCTTTAAAACAAAAGTTTGCCATTGTATTTAATGTGTTTGATGTTCTTTGCCATTTCACTATATAAATGCCCTCAAAAAATCAAGGATCATAAAGTATGTTCATTGCTCTGTTTTTCAGAATAAAGTACATTTGTATAAAAATTGAGCTTAAGTTCTACTTCCTTTCCGCCAAATAATAAATATAAAAGTTAGGTAATCATAGTTTTATGAAAGGAGTAGATTCCTTCAACCAGGCTCTCAAAATATAACACCTCAAGTTGATCTTAGCAGAACTGTGAAAAAGAGCGATGGCATTTTCCTTGGTTACCACAAGTCTGAAGTCTGCCCTGAGAGGGAGTGTGAATGCTCTTCTCTGGTTTAGAGGAAGCTTGAGTTCATATTATTCTCTTTCTTCTTCCAGTGTCTATGAATGAGTTCAGGGGAAAAAAAAATTGTGCCAGTTAGCTTAATTTCTTCATTCTTGATATAGACACCGATGTGGAAATGGAAAACTTTTCCTAAAAAGCAGGGGGATTTTGCTGATATAAGAATGCTCTGGCTGCTGTTTCTCTGAGTGATGCATTCAGTTTCCTTACACCCATGGCAGTCCTTTGCACCTTAAGTGCGTTCCTGCCTTTGTTTTTGCCTGGATGCTTCTACCGAGTGTGCTCCCTCACCAGCTTCCCCAAGAACTCTCCCTGCTTCTGCCTCAGAGGGCATCGATGCTCCTGACCACACAGGGTCCCAGTTCAGGAAGAGATCCACATTTCCTTTCAACCTCTCTGCCTCCCAAAGAAAAACATCTCATAATGATACATTATCGCTAACACCCTTAGTTGGAAATTTATTGGCCATAATACAAATGGAAATGCTTTACTGCTAGAAAAACTGAAATCAACTCATTTCTAATTAGAGTATAGGCAAAACACCTAGATATGACTTTTAGCTATTGAATATCCATTATTTATTCCAACTAAAACAGAAAAGAACGGCCATTGGTCAATAAACGGCAAAGGAAGAGGTAAACTGTGATAGAGCGTTTTCTGTGCCATGTAAAATTTTAATCACATTAGTTCTGAATAGGACAATATAATTTATTAATTCTGTGCCAAATATTTAGAATATTTTTCACAAAGATAGAGTGCTATAGCAAAACTGAACACTGTGCATAAAGGTACATAAATTATTCAAATTTTAATGTGTTGTGCATGTTTGTTTAATAAATGTGGCATGTTCTTGATAAAAAATGCTATGTTATTTAAAAGATAAAGGAACATTTCTATTGAAAAAAAATGTGTCATTTACAAATAATGTTACCATATGAGGTAAATGGTTAAATTAGATCTTGACATAGTTTTCTTAAAACATCAGTCTAAGAAATATGACTTATTACTAACACAAATGTGAACATTTTATAGCAGTTTTTGTGAAAGCCCATCCTTTTTAATATCCATGTTAATATATCTTAAAGCTAAATGTAAGCATGCCATCAATTTACTAATATATGTATTAAACTTTGTCTCAAATACTTACACATTTTATTTATATTTATGTCTATCGTATTATAAATATGCTTATACATATTTTCATTTGTTAAAAAATTTGTTATATTTGAATAAGTATGAATAAAAATAAACTGATATTTTGATTAATTTCAGATCCAAAAACTGATTTTCTTTGCATTATTCATGTCTGAAAGTCATTGATTCTTTAGGAGACAAATATTTAAGTAAAATAGTTTGTATACTGCAGAGAAAAGTATGAAGTTTCCTCTTACATGTAAGTCTTAAGGAATAACATTGAAAATGGTAAGATCACTCACTAATTCTGGCAGGACTGAAGGATTTGAGAGAAATCACACGAACATCTCTAGAAAGATCCCATCACAAGATTTAATAAACTCAGTGTTAATAACCAATTATTATTTCCATTTTAATATTCTCATCTGTATACTAATCATGTTCCTATTTTAAAACTGGAGGAAAACAGAAGTCAACCAGCCAACTCCATCTAACCCAAGAGAAACTTGAAGCCTAGAAAGGTTAAATGACTTAAGTCAACTCATTATTGAGACACATTTATTTGAATAGTGTTAATAAAGGTATTTAACTTGTAAGAAAGCTGTATGCTGTGGTGGGATAGGCACTTGAGGCAGGCAGTTTATAGTGGCTCCCTCGCTTACAAGCTGTAGGCCTTTGAGTCAGTCTCCTAACTTCTGGTGTCCTTGGTTCCCTTGCCTGTTAAACAGTAATTGTATGCACCTTGCAGGGTTGTGCTTTTAGATGGTGCATGTCAAAGGCCTGGCAGTACAAAGCTGGACACATTATCAGTGTTCAAGGAAAGGGAACTGTTATAATTCTCAGTACTAACCACACATATACCAAGGTCTAATGAAATGCAAAATATGAATTAACTGAACTTTTTAAAGGGTAATATAAAAAATAGCTACCTACATTTATTGCATATCCCTCCCACCCATTATTATTTTCCATATTAAGCACTACCTCATTGTGAAAAATATTCCTAAAATACGTTAGTTGACTCTTCTGCAGTTCCTTCGCTAAGAGTTCCATAGGGAACACTTCTTTTCTCCTATTATCAAGCATCTTGGTTTTTACTTCCTCTCCCCTTTAACAAGTGATCATTATAAAGTACTGTAAGTATGGAATGTACAAGTGATCTTACTGAATCCTATTTTTATCCCTAAAATATATGCAGGAAGTTGCATGTATTTTTCCCCCCAGCTTTTTAGAAATGGCATTTGCATCCTTTCCTAAAAACAGAATTGGAGAGGCAATCCTGACAATTTATTATTCTAGTTAATTAAATTGTGATTTAATGAACTTTTAAAATTATATCATTAAATGTTAATAAAAGCACGTTTCTTGTTAACAAGAAACCCCACATTTTTTTAAACATTCATTGACACCAACACTTCCTTCCTCTTCCTCAAAGTAAAATGATAAATTGAAAACAGTATAAAAATATCAAAAATTCTGAAAAACCTAATTTTTCATAATTTATAAAGGAAAAATAGGGAGTAGAAAAGAAATAATCTCATCCTTATTCTAAAACAGTGGCCCATCAGACCATATCCCATTACCTCTCCTGACAACAATTGATCAGTAAATGAATATTGCCCTTTGTAATCTAGCAAAGAATGTGCTACCTTCGAAATTAATGCATCATCCTATTAATTATGTCATTAATAACATTCACAGGAAATTTTAGTGTATTGGATAGATGGCGGAAGGATGTAACATCTTTTAAAGCTATTGAGAAATACAGGCTTGTGGACATTATCTTTTGAGTACTGTGTCATATTACTAAGGCCATGACCTAAATATTATTGGGAAATCTAAAACTCTCGGAATTGGACTGACTCCATTCATACTACAAGGTCCTGAAAGGTAAAGTATTCCTATGCATCAGGGAAATGACTCTTGATGCCATATGGTTTGGTGCAGTGGTCGGCAAACTGCGGCTCACGAGCCACATGTGGCTCGTGAGCCGCAGTTTGCCGACCACTGGTTTGGTGGATAGGTGTGGGTGAAAAAGAAGGATGTATTGATTAAAGCATAGGACTCTGTTAAACTTGATATCTCAATGTTAATCATCATTTTTTTAAAAAATATATTTTATTGATTTTTTACAGAGAAGAAGGGAGAGAGATAGAGAGTTAGAAACATCGATCAGCTGCCTCCTGCACATCTCCTACTGGGGATGTGCCCGCAACCCAGGTACATGCCCTTGACCAGAATCGAACCTGGGACCCTTCAGTCCGCAGGCCGACGCTCTATCCACTGAGCCAAACCGGTTTCGGCCATCATTTTTTAATTTAAATAAAATTGTAATATTAGAATAATTTTATATTACAGAAAAATTACAAAAATAGTGCAGCATTCTTGAATACCTCTCATCTAGTTTCTCCTATTTGCTACAACTAAGGAACCAACATTGGGACATTACTATTAACTAAAATCCACCCTCGTTCCAATTTCACACTTTTCTCCTAATGTCCTTTTTTCTTCCAGCATCCTATCTGGTATAATACATTATACTTAGTCATTCTTAGGCTCCTTTTGGCTGTGACAATCTCAGACTTTTATTTATGTATGTATGTATTATTATTTTTAGTGACTGTGACAGTTCGTGGAGTCTTGTCAGATATTTTGTAGAATGTCCCTCAACTGTGATTTACCTAATGTTTTCACATGGTTAGACTATGGTTATGGGTTTTGTGGCAAATATTACAAAGGTGAACTGCCCTTCAATGAGATCGTATCATATCCAAGGTACATGCTGTCAACATGACCTCATTGCTGATGTTAACCTGTATCCAGTGGCCAAGGTAGTGTTTGCCAGGTCTCTCCACTGTCCAGTAACTCCGCCCCTCCCCTTTTTATACACTACTCTTTGTTATTCAATCGAAAAGCATAGCCCACAGTTAAGTGGTAGGGAATTATACTCCACATTCTTGAGGGGTTAGTAGACATATAAATTATTTGAAATTCTGTATGAGATATGTCTCTTTTCTCCAATTTAATTATTAGTTTATTTATATTGGGATTCCAAATCTAATGCATATCTCTTGGTGGCCAAGAGATTTGTTTACATGATTAGAAAGTTAAAGAAAATTTGGAACGATTTACATGATGCAGATGAATACCATTTGAAATTGGATGTGATAATATCTATATATATAAAAGCCTAAGCAACCGAATGACCATTTGACCTGTTGTTATGATGCACAGTGACCACCAGGGGGCAGACACTCAATGCAGGAACTGACCCCTGGTGGTCAGTGCATTCCCACAGCAGGAGCACTGCTCAGCTGACTGAGGTGCGCCAACCACCGGGCTCACGGCTGGTGTGCGCAGCTGCAGCGGCACAAGCCTCCCCTGCCTCTGTGGCAGCATGCTACCGAGAGCGGTGTTGGCAGGAGCAGTGGGGCCAGGATGAACAGGAGCAGCGCTGCACCTGGCCTGGGCTCCTCTCTGGCTGCCTGCCTCTTCGGATTGCAAGAGGGCACAGGCCAGGCTGAGGGACCCCACTGGTGCACGAATTCGTGCACTGGGCCTCTAGTATTCTATAATTTCCTCAGAGTTAATCTTCCTATAAGTATCAGATACATTTCTTTATAACTTGTCATGACTATAACT